TATTTATAGAAAAACGCGTGTCCCGAAGGCCGCTGTGAGCAGCAAGCAATTGGTTGCCTGGTGAAGAATTTTTAGAATTCGGGAGGGGAATTCCCCATTTTAATATATATAGGGTTTGTTTTTTTTTTAATTTGGCGGTTCAGACATTAGGCAGCTGCAAATTAACAAACTCAGAGAGGGCCGTATTGTGTTTTTTGGAGGGCCTTTTGTCTGAGGTTCTGCAGAGTCTATGAGCTGTCCCTGAACTCCCGTTTACCCTCTTGTGTGTGTATCGGAACCAAGTCCAACGCCTCTTGGCCTCACTCTTGCCACCTGTGTGCCGCCACACCGGCCACGGCTCTGAGAAGAGCCTCTTTTGTCCAGGGGTGATCTCTAGAAATAGTCCTCCTGGCGGGGCTCGGGGTAGTGGGGGGTGGGGAGATGAATGCTGCAGCCAGCAGCTACCCCATGGCCTCCCTGTATGTGGGTGACCTGCACTCGGACGTCACCGAAGCCATGCTGTATGAAAAGTTCAGCCCTGCGGGTCCTGTGCTGTCCATCCGGGTCTGCCGAGGTATGATCACCCGTCGCTCTCTGGGTTATGCATATGTCAACTTCCAGCAGCCAGCTGATGGTGAGTAGGAACTATACCCACAAAATTTGAGTTCCCAAGGAACCCTGGGAATCATTTGGGCAAGTCTGTGCCCCGTGGGGAACTGGCACCTAGACACCACGTTGCCCCAGAATCCAGTAGTAAGATGCCCAGTGCAGGAATTGGGAACTTGGGGCCTGGCATCAAATGACTGGAGTTGTTGCTATCACTTGCTGACTGGGTGACCTTGGGCCAATTGGTGGAGGGTAGGGTAAGCACCCTGGAAGACTGCATGAAGGAGGTCAGACTGAAATTGAAATCATTCTTAAACCATTGTTTATGTGCTTGGTGGGATTGGGCTAATCAGTGGGCTTGGGTTTGTGTCCCTTAAATGCCTGCTAAAAGGGCAGGACAATGAAAATACAATTCCCTACAGAAATTTAAGTTGCAGAGCTGGCGCACCCTACACCTTTATCTTGGCAGTGAGTCCTGGTTTTATGCAGTTAAAGGGTCTTCATGGCAAATAGGAAACCATGGGAAAACTCTGTGCAGGTAGTTTTTAGTGTAGCCAGGTTAGCTCCCCCAGTCTGCATGTTTTGTCTCTGGTTAGAAGAATTCTTCCCTGAGGAGAATGGTGACCAGGTAGTCTGGGAAAGTGCCACCTGTCATACTACTGGGTCTAGGGCTGGAACTTCTACACAGCAAGTTACACCTCGGCTTTCATGCCATCTGAAGGTTATGGAATTTCTGTGAAAGGAATGGAACAAGAATTTGAGGCCAAGTTAACTCTCATTGCAGTGTTCAGCCTGCCTCATATTGGAACTGTAGAGGTATGCTGCAGGCATGTCAGGAGGGAGGCAAGAGGAAACTTTATCCAGCCTGCATGGGACTCCAGTTTAAGAGGGAATGATTGCAGACCATTACTGGGAGGGAAATGGCCCATTCTGTGGCACAGTTCCTACTTTTTTCACAGTTTATGAAACAGAGACAATGTAACTTGCCCAAGGTGCAGCTGAGATCAGAGACTTGGACTTAATGTTCTCTGAACTTATGTCTGCAAACTTATGTCTGCCAACAGTGCAAAGAAGGTAGTTGAGGTGACTTTTTCAGTGGGGGACATATACAAGCTGTTGCCATCTTCTGAACAAAAGTCCTGTCACTTAGTGATCTTAGTAGAAGCCATTGGCCAGCATGTCTGCCAACACATACCTCTACTGGACCTTTCCCTGCTATAAATATGTGCAGCCAGATTTGTCAGGCTAAGCTGACTTGCCTTCTGCAGTGCTGGCTTGAAATAGTAGTTCTGTTGTAATGGACAGACTCCTTTACTGCTTGATATGATAATTAATGACATAATTTAGGGTCCCAGGTTGTGAATCTCAGATAATCCTCATAGCAAACTCGTGTACCTGTACACACACTGTTCCGTTTTCCCTGACTTCAATCTTTTCTTTTTTTAACCTTCTGAGGAAAGTTGGAAATTGAGAGAAGACACTCCTTTGGCTCACTGGACCCCTATACTTAGGAGGGAGGATGTTTTGGCCAAGCAAAAGAAACCTTTCCCCTCCCCTAGAGCCTATGAATCTAAATGGAGGAAGTTCGGGTGATGTCATTGTATTACTGAAGTCACTACTATGAGATAATAGTTTAAGTCATCTGAGTGTCCTTGTTCCTGCCAGTGAATAAATGTCCCTGGCTGGCATGGTTATTTTAGCCTCCAGTCATTTATTGGTGGTCTCTGTAATGAACACTGAAAAAACCCAAAGGCACTAGATAAAGAACTGAGCGCTTGGGTAATTAAAGTCTGGGATTCTGTACAACTCTGGTTACTGTTTCAACTGAACATCCCTCAGATGGCCAGCTTCAGAAGACATGGGAATCACTGTACAGGGCTTGGCTGCATTTTTGAGCTAAGCAGAAAAGTTTGGTGGTTTCATTGTTTGGATCCTAATCAAGTCTTCTATAAATGATAAAGCCTAATCAAATGTGAGGTGAGTTTGAACTTGGTGTACTACAAGATTATTCAGATAGTCTTGCTTAACACAGGCCCAGAAGGGATCAGACTTACTGTCATGAGGTAGATTAGCTGGAACTCATTCTCCTCAGTAACATCCAGCTAGAGTAATCTGATGCTCTCTAATTTTAATTGAATCACACTTCTGTCACGCAAATTACCTTGAAAAGGCATGGAGTAATTTGTGACAGTCAACTTACATGAAGGTGAGGTTGTATAGTCCTCGTCTGAAACATATTTCTCTTACAGCTGAGCGGGCCCTGGACACCATGAACTTTGATGTGATTAAGGGAAAGCCAATCCGAATCATGTGGTCACAGAGAGATCCCTCTCTGAGAAAATCTGGTGTGGGAAATGTCTTCATCAAGAACCTGGACAAATCAATAGATAACAAGGCACTTTATGATACTTTTTCTGCTTTTGGAAATATTTTATCCTGCAAGGTAAATACTGACTAAATGATTTCAACATATTAAGTATTGAATCTTGGAAATGGTGATTAAAAACCAATGATGAAGTGCCTTGGAATTAGGCAGTAGAACATGGGAATTTCCAAAATGGCAATCTAGTGCCACAACTCAGCATAACCTAATGGTGCTTTTGTACTTACATTGTTTATTCTTCTCGTGGCCTGAAAACTTTTCCTGGTTTGTAGTTTTAGAAAGCTACAAAATTGTTTTTAGAGGAGGAGGGAGGACCAAAGAAGTGCCAGGAAGTTTTTATCGTTTTAAAAGCATAGATATCCTCTCTCTCTATAAGTATACCTGTTTATGTAAAGCACTGTGTATTTGTATTGGTTGTTACTTAGATGCCACTAAATCCCAAGACTAATGCCATGTAATTGATTCCTCAGAGTTGAACTACCCGTAGAATTTCCACAGCTATCTTTACAGGAACAGACTTTCTCCTGAGTGGTTGGTTTGGCTCCTGTGTGTGTGTGTGTATGTATGTGTCTTGAGTTCTGTAATGAGCATGCAAGACCAGTCCTCTTCCTAGAGTGTCTTGGTTTTTTTAAATTTTTTTTTTTAAATGAAAGTAAGACTATTTGGAATCAAAGCAGCCTAATAGCATCCATTTGTAAATGGAGCACTTAGGAGGTGCCCAGCACAGTGTTAAATTCTTTGCCTGTTTCTTGCTGCCTTTTGTTCGTAGAGGGCTAGAGACCTCTGTAGAGATCCTGAGTAGGAGACGCCAAGGTTCTCGCATTGCCGAGAGCTGAGAATCGGTGCTAAAGGACCTGCCTTGTCTTCACTAGGTGGTGTGCGATGAGAACGGCTCTAAGGGTTATGCCTTTGTCCACTTCGAGACCCAAGAGGCTGCCGACAAGGCTATTGAGAAGATGAATGGCATGCTCCTCAATGACCGCAAAGTGTGAGTGTCCCAGTCCGGAGCAACAGCCATCGCATGAGCCAGCCATGGCCCCACCTCGGTATTAACTGGCACATACAAGGCGGCTACTGGTTCTCGGCCCAAGTGTGGCCTGCTCCTACCTCTCCACTCCAGGGCTGGTGAGTCTCCCTGCCCAAGCCGTGGCAGCCCTTTTGACTCACCAAGGTGGGCTTCCTGCCCATACCAGGCCTGCCTGCCGCCTCTCCCTTAACAGCCTCGTCTGGATTTTGTGAACATCAGCAACTGGGGCTGGCAGGAAGGCAGCTCTAAGCCCATTCTGAGCAGGGGTCTTGGCCAGTGGCAGAGTGGAGAGGGCCCTGGACTGACCAGGAGCTATATATACTAACTAGCCATGTGACCTTGTTCTTTCTATGACTCAAGTCTGTCCATGGGTCACTTGCTGGTTGTCAATGCCAGATTATCCCTCTAGATCTCCATTTCCTAACTTATGACACAGTGGCCTTCTAATTCAAGGCTGGCTCAGTAGTAGTAATGCTTAACCTTAGTTACAGTGAAACAATCCTGTTAACAGAAGACCCTATTAGTAGCAAACCATACTATTCTGGTGTAGTGTGGAGAGAAAATTTAACACTGGGGAGAGGAGAGGTGACATAAGTCTTGGCAGTAACAAAAATGTTTGTCTTTTGTGCTGTTGAGCAGATCAGGGAATGGGCTGCATTGATTATGTCTCTGTGCCTGGCAGTCAGTTGATTCAGAGGTATCAGTAGAAAGAAATTGGAAATCTTGCAGTGTAGGGACACATTTTTCTATTAATACCTCATACAACTAAGATAGCAAAGATTCTTTCTACCTACAATCGCTCCACCCAAGATTAACCACTGTTAACAGTTCGGTTTGTATCCTTGCAGACCTTTCTATGCATTTACGTAGATGCTCAGAAATGAACGTTTAAAAACATGGTCATCAGGTTCCTTCATGAAGTCAGTATGATGTGGTAGGAGTAGCCCTGGTCTGAGCCAGGAACCCTGGGACTGGTCTCATAGGAAAGACCTATCTCTCACTTTCTGATGGGGAGTTGGCCTTTCTGAACTTATTCGTTGCTTGGTTGGATGGGGACTTGTGTTTTAACCTCGCCTATCAACCTTCAACCCTCATTCTTTTGAGCCCCTGAAAAGTCATATTTTGATCCTTCTGGGTGATCACTTGTTTTCATGGCTTCATTTCAGGTTTGTGGGAAGATTCAAGTCTCGTAAAGAGCGGGAAGCTGAACTTGGAGCCAAAGCCAAGGAATTTACCAATGTTTATATCAAGAACTTTGGGGAAGATATGGATGATGACAGCTTGAAAGAGCTGTTCAGCCTGTTTGGTAAGTCAGTATTTGTGGCACATGTCCCTTTTTTATGTCCACCAGACCTGCAACCTTATCCTTTTTGTTTCCCCCTTCTTTAAGAGCCCAGAAATAAAATTAAAATACCTTTCATGACAAAGATCACAGGGTTAGATAGGAATAGACCCTGGGCTTCATCTCATCCTCAGTGTCATCTCTACCTCTTACATATTTATTAATTACTTGGGAGGCCAGACATGATGGTGCCTCTGTCTTGGAAGCCATGTGAGTTTAGTAAGAGGTTGGCTTCAAGTGGGTTCCTAGAGAATTTTCTCCTTAAGCTGGAGGAGTTAGTGGTGTTACTAAATAGTTCTGTCCTTTGGTAATAGGTAAGACCCTAAGTATCAAGGTGATGAGAGATCCCACTGGGAAATCTAAAGGCTTTGGCTTTGTGAGTTACGAAAAACACGAAGATGCCAATAAGGTGAGTACCACAAAGGTTTGTAAGTGGTAGCAGCCCCTCCCTTCCACTTCTTAAACACAAGCACAATAGAGCTTAGTGGTCTTTGTGTTTAGTAATGGCTACAGTTATGTGCCTTCGAATTGGCTACATGAATTCACATGTTAGTATCAAAGCACTTGGCATCTGCCTGTTGCCTCAGTTGTCTGCTGTCTAGCCCTGTGTGCCCACTCAGGTGATGGAAACAGAGGCTCAGAGTCATTGATTTGATTACAGCACAGCAGCTACTTACTGAAAAAATACCATGTGCACTGCCCTTCCTTTACCAGAATAGGGAAAGAGAAGTTCTGTGACCGCCAAATTATAAACCTAGCCTCTACCATGTTTGGATTTTTATTCCTATTTTGACCAGCCCTCTTTAAGTACATTTTACAGATGAAATGTGGACGTGCTTAGTGTTTAGTCTTACAAGAGCCCATTATTGAATGGTGAGAAGGACTTAGCAGACCTTCAGAGGACCTCCAGATCGCCTGACTTTGCATCTTGACTTAAAGACATGTCTTTCTCTCTAGGCTGTGGAAGAGATGAACGGAAAAGAAATTGGTGGGAAAATCATCTTTGTAGGCCGTGCACAGAAGAAAGTTGAACGGCAGGCTGAGTTAAAACGGAAATTTGAGCAGCTCAAACAGGAGAGAATTAGTCGCTATCAGGTGAGATATGGTCTTAGCCTAGCCTGCCAACAGGGGATTTACTAAATGTTTGCAAAGCACACCCCTATGATTATTGGGACTCAACTACTGCTCTCCTAGGTGTGAAGTAAAAGAATATGTATGTACCAGATAACGTCAGTGGTTATAGAACCAAAAACAAAAGGGAGGCCCTCAGCTGTGGCTCTTAAATATGTGTGTCTATTTGACTTAAGACATTTCATCCCATCATGGCTCTCACTCCGCAATTAGGAATGGTGGCAGAACTACTTGGTAGGGTGAACTGTAGCTGTGGGGAAAGAGAGTACAAATGGTACTGATGTCTTGGCAGAGGGCAGTGGGTTTTTCAAGTTGGAGACTGCAAAGTTTGTTAACATGGATAGTGGGACCCTAGACCCAGAGGTTGAATTAATTCACTAAGTTTGGAGTCTGACCTAACCTTTGACACTTTTAAAAATTCTCAGTAGTGCTGATGTTGCTGTGTTAGTCTATAAAGTAGAGTAGGCATATTAACAGTGTTCTCTTATAGGGGGTGAATCTTTACATTAAGAATTTGGATGACACCATTGATGATGAGAAGTTAAGGAAAGAATTTTCTCCATTTGGATCAATCACCAGTGCTAAGGTATTTTAGTGATGAGGTTCGTCAGAAATTTATCATGAATAAGATCTAAATTGTTTCTGAGAAAGCTAGCAAGCTCCTTGCATTCAGTTACCCAATTGTGTATGTATTCTCTGAAGAATGACAATTTGTTACTGTTGTGCTGTCTGTCAAATGCCGAGGTATAAACCTGCTCCTCAGCACCTGAATCTTTCCCATTCTTTGCTGCCCTTGTGCTGGTGTGGGGACAGATGGTGCTACAGTATAAGCAGAGGAAATCCAGATGGGTTGTTTCCATCTACTTGGGACCTGTCTCTACAACTCTGCCACACTCATCCTTCCTGAGAAGGAGAGAGTGATTTTGAGGACTTGGGAGCCAGGATTGGGAACTTATATCTTGGTCTTAGGAGGATTGAAAAACCAAACAGGCCCATCCACTGCTATGAAATAAATGAACTCTATTTCATGGTGACTCTCTGATTTCCAAGGCTTGTTAATCTGGCAGAAGCAAACTGCCTCATCAAACCAACTTTCTCATTGAGTGGTTGGTGAGTTTGAACTGAAGAGTTTGTGACTAGCAATTCAACACATAACCCACTGTGCCACTCTGGCACATTGGTAAGGTGAACAAAACCAACCCCTGTCCTCAAGCCACATCTGACTCCGATTTCCAAGGCTATACATTTTCACGGAAGACCTGCAGAGTGGTTGGTGGATTTGAACCACCACAGAGGCACCAGCTTTGGTTTAGCAGCACAACTTCAGACTGTGTCACTAGAGCTTATTTAGTGATTTTTGGGATGCCTAATTCATGCTTGCGTGTGGTAATTAAAAAAACACACTGAAAAAACCCCAAACAAACCAAAAATCCTCACTCATTGTTTTTGAATCAGAATCAACTCTTGGCGAACCCTAGCAGATTTGTTTGCATTGTACATCATTGTTCAGTTTCCCTTGATAATCATACTAATAGGTTTTCAGGGTAAGGTAACAATGGGCATTTTAAAGGTAAAGGATTTGAGTCTTTGAGTGAGAGCTTTGGTTGCATACGGATTGTGTATTGAGTGTCTTGGCATTTTGGAGCATGATAGAAACTGATGGCTTGTCAAAGTTGTGGGTCTGGTGGTGTGCTGTGCTGGTCTGCTGGGCAGAGGTGCAGCAAATGTCATAACATCTTTGAGGTGATGAAAAAGACCTGCCTCGACCCTTCTCTACAGCAGTCAGTAGTACTTGCCTACACCACAATAGAGTGTTGTGCGTGCAGAGCGTGATGATCAGTTAATAGGTAGAGTTGAATCCTGGAGAGTTCTCCCGGTTCATTGCCTCTTCCTTTTACAATCCCTTTGATTAGCCTTGCATCAGTACAAGATAGGATAGTCTGTCCTCGCTTACTAGAACTGTAGTCTAATTGGCATTTCCAAGATGATATCAACGTAGCAGCACCCTTTTCAAGACACAGTGTTCCATTTTTCAAGCTTTACTGGCCATTTCTCCTCCACTAGTAGAGTTACTGGGCTGATGTGTGTCTTTAGGACCATGTTTTTAGCTTCAAAAGAATCTCTTGCACTAAAGTAAACAAAACGACCAAGCACATACTCCTTATGCTGCTGATGCTTCTAGCAAGTCAAGTCTGGGAAAGCAGTCATTTTCTAGTAACAGGAAAAAGCCATTAGTGGCCAACTCGTAGGTAGAAAAGATTATCTGAACCAGTAGATTAGTGGCTTCTGAGTATGTCAGAGAAAGTGAAGCTTGGGACAAGTAAGAGATTTGTCAAGGTTGTACAGTTTGATAAAAGTTTTGACTGAAACTGAGATTTCCTGTCTTCCAGCTTTGGTCCCGTTAAATAAGTGGTGGGATCTGTTAGTGACTTGGGAACAACAGCAACTTCTTGTTGTTGGGTCAGAATGACTAACAGCTAGAGATTGCCTGAGTCCCTGGTGGACTGAACTGCCAGCAAAGCACACCGCTTTTTTGGGTTAGCAGGACAGCTTCCTACTGACTACACCATTAGA